TGCACGTCGAAACCATTTTCGCGACGCGTTTCTCGAAATAATTAGACCGATCAGCTCTTAAGAGATGTCAATTAAATATGTTTTTTTTTGCGAAATTTACAGGCGATATAAATCTCAAAAAAATATTTGACAGTATTGCAATGGGTAGTCTAAGCCCTCAAGTTAAAGGTGAAAAACATATTCGATAATTCGACAACTATTTAGTCTGAAAGAGAATTATTTGCATGGGTGTAATTTTTCTAAATACCAGTTTGTTTAAAAAATATTTTGAAGGGATGAAATAATCTAGATGCTTCTCATCTTTAATTTTAATATCTATCTAAAAGGAAAATAATTTACAAATCTGAAAGTATCATAACATTAAGTAAGAATTTATGGTACCGGGAAAGCTACGATTACTGACATAAAAAACGACTTCATCTAGAACCTCTGAAACATTCGTGCCATTAATTTTTAATTATACGTACTTGGAAGTTTCTCAGAAGCGACTGGAATTGATATAATTAAAGATAGCTCTAAGAAGGTCACGTTTTGACATATTTTCGTCAGGAAAACTTCGGCAGTGGTGACCAAATCTTGCCAGAAATACTCGAGACCCGCATCCTCTATTAGAATTGTATTTCATACATATTCTATCATATAAATTAATATACATATAAAGCTACCCAACAAATCCCATTTTAAGAAACTAGATTTATCATAAATGAATTTGTTTGCTTTTTATAAAAAACACATTCACGAATTTATATGTACAGACAACGAATACATATTTTAGATTCATAAAAAAATCCACTAATAAAACTATTTCGAATCCAAAATTTTTATTCCCTATTCATGAATAGTTTCCTTATACAGATGCAAGTTAATTCACAATTTTGTCCCGAAATCTAGTCGTTGAGACGCATCGAGGGACATTTTGCTCCTTTAAATCTCGTTTTAAAAAATACAGACAACTAACTCGTTATTATCTCGGCCAGTAAAGTCCAAAATTTATATTGCTTGGCCCACCTCGGGAAAAGTTCGTTGACTCGTGGTCCGGAGCCGTGATTCCCCCAATGGTTTCGAGCAGCGTATAAAGACGTTAAATAAAATGCGGAGGAACGTTTAATTTTCTTCTCTTTTTTTTTGTTCGTTCGCCCGTCGGGAAGATAACGCAGCGGACGAGGATACAGAATTTCAGGATGTCCTCGGATATTGCACCCCGGTGACAGCAGACGGTCGAAAGAGGGTTAACGATCGGGTCATTGTACTCGAGGATGACCTTCCGAGCAGCGGCGAACCCGCTGACCGAAAATACTCGTAACGAGCGAACGCGGCTATATACGGGCGCTGACAAAACGACGCTAAAGGGGTTAACAGTTGTTACGAGAATCCGTGTAAGATATTATCGGAAATAGGCGATGGTAGAGGAGACTCGGTGATCCTCTGGACGCGATACGGGGTTACGTTTTCTTCGTGTCCCAGTGTTCCCGTGCCAAACGGGAAAACGGAACGCGGCCGTCGAACGAGAACCGTTGAATTCATCAGCACGCAATCGCGCCTCGTATCGCGATGAATTCCGTCGCGTATGCTCCATACAGACGCACGAAAATAGGAGGAACAACCGGGAAGAAGAATGGATTAACGAGGGCGAAACGGTGAAGTGCTCGTTTTATACGGACGTATTCGCTGAGCAACTATTTTCCAGACTAACAAACGTTCTGTCGGTCTGCTCGCCTGGCTAACGGCGAAAATCGACGATCCTATGTGCATCTCGGTACAAGAAAGCTTTCGAGGGTTGGGCTTGGATCCAACAACAACCGCCATATTTATGGTGCCGGGGCGTCTTAACCCACTGAGAACCGAATGTACCCGGGCGAACGGAGTCAACGTTGAGAGGTTACCGGAGGTCAGGAATTCGTCAGTAGCATATTAGCAACATTTGAAAGTCAAGACGATTACTTACTTCTCGCAATCGACCGATATTGATGCACTCCGAAAGCACTTTGCTTCCACTTAGCCTCCCGACATTTCCCTCGGCACGTTAACGTCCGAACTTGCTGCAAATGCATCCGGCGCTAGAGTCTTTCCGCGCCGAATAAAAATGTACATCGAACGAACCAACTTGTGGGTCCTGCAGGTTTCGTGGAATATTTATTCGCGTTACGGAGTCATCTTCGAAATTGACCGGTACCACGGGGCAAGAAATCGAGTCGAAAAGGCAATAATCAAAAGCAGACATTCTTTTACAATGTTTCTACAACGTCGAAACGTCTGAAATAACAAATTATTCTTAGAAAAGCTATACATATATTTGTAAGAGAAATATTTAGCTTCTGAATATGTAATTTTTCTGTACATTCAGGCCCCAGTAGAAAGGTTTCGAGTTTCATAACAAGAGGTAATAAAGTAACATATTTGTTGAAAGTATGTAATTTTATTAACCAAATAGTTCATTCGAATGTTTATGAAAAATACAATATTCTTATAAGTTAAAAATCAATTATAGTACAATCAACAATCATTTTTCAACGTGTATACTATGCACTGTATAGGATAATTATAGAAACTAGGCCGAGCTATAGCTCTGTTTTAAGTGAATTTAAGTGATTAGTGACCTCTATTATCTTATGATACGATCTTCTTCCTAAGTGCATCAATGCGCTTCCAGAGAGTAATTGCACTTTTCTTTTAAATAGAACTATCTAATATTTTTACACAAATCGATTTCCTGGACGATCTACGTCCAGTAGATAAAAGAAATATGCAATATTTTATGAGATATTTTCTTTTCTTTTCTATAGTACAGCAAGTAACGACTTAAAGATTTCCCCATTGCATCGAAAATACTTTCTTGTACGTTTCCTTGCATTTTTCATTGTTTGGTTTGTTTGTTCAGCATGCACATTTGAACACTTTCACACAAATTTATAACGACACATCACTGTATGGTGTGAAATTCTCAATACGTGCCTTATCAGCCCATATTTTTCCCCCTTTAACACGGTACACAGCGATCAGCATTTCTTAGAGTTTACATTGCCTCTCCTGTTCGATATTCCTTCATTAATACTATGTAATTTAAAGTATTATCAACAAGATGGAGTACCGAAGTAGAAGATAGTTATCAGAAACGTATGGAAAAAAATAGTGCGGTGCCCACAATTAAATTTTACTTTAAATCTATTCGAATCCATATCATTTCTCGCGTCATCATCAAGTACTTGCAGTTCAAAATTAAAACTATTTATCTCAACACGGTCAAAAACGGACTTTCCCACCGAACGATATGTTCCGTACACTTCGCAGACAGATAAGTAAATAAACGTTGCGCTTGTTGAAAAAAATAGAACCTTCAGCAGGACTTGATATCGAAATGACTTCGTTATTAACGCGACAGTTAATAAAAAAAAAGAGTTGTATTTTGAATACGGCGGTCAACTTCCCTCGCGCATCGCAGCGATAGCTCGAGCAACGATAGCTCGAACGGAAACGAGGTACAGTCTTGATAAGTGAAGCCGGTCTTCTAATTCCACTCGCCATAAATGCCGCTTACGTATCTAATCTGGCATTCTCGAGCGCTGTACCAGCGTCTACGAAACAGCATTTAACGAACGCACAGAATCCATGAATCACGTACGGCGACACAAGGCGTTCATCTCCTTGCTCTCCGCTCCGGAGTTGGAACACGCGTTGACTCACAGGCCGATTATTCATTTGCAAATAATTCTTTGTTCGACGTCGCGCGTAAGAGCGGATGAAACACGACGCGCGAGAAGTTATGGTAAACGAGATTTCTAAAGCGATCCCGGCATAGAATGTTTACGAATGCAAGCGTACGCGAATGGAACTTTGAACGGTTTTGGCCGAACCGAACCGTACAGAGTGTTTTATAACGCCCGTGCGTGATTTTATGGCCACAAGACAGAGAAATAATAAGAATTGTTCGTGTATATTAATGTGGTTCTTGACCCTGTTTTTACGAAGCATACCTCTATATTTAGCGAAGCTATTAAGTTTGATTATAAAGTGGTTACTTTGCATTTGTATACAGGACGAACGTCGTAAATGATGATTCTTAAACTTACGGTAACTTAGCAACGAAACCATAAAACACAAGCGGTTTATCCATTTCGAAGTTTTGGTAGGTCACGCTGATAGCGCTCTCCGGGATTAATTAAAGTTTTATTTCAAGGGATTTCTTAAAAACAGGAAGAAACGCATTGCAACTTAAACAGTACTCTAAATTCTGTTTCACAGATTTTTAAAATGTGCAGATAAATACCGGTGCAAGGTACATCTATGCTGAAGTGATCTTGTGAAGCACGATAACGTAAACTTTATTAACTCTCCAGTACGAACGGGTGTCTTACACCGATAAAAATTTTAAATATCAATAACTTACCAATTCACAGTCCCACTAGAACTTTATATTTAGTAGCTGCATGTTTATACCAGTTATTTGCTACGATATAACTTATGTGCTCGATATTTATTTTCCATGTCGGCATATAAACACCAAATAATTCCAATATTGGACAATCAAAATCCTCATAACATACATCATTTAAGTATTTCAAGTCCAAATGCTAATTGCAAACTTATATAGAGTGAATCTTTCTGTTATCCTCAACAATATGAGCAACTGTAACTGTAGCACAAGCTTCATTTAGCTAATGAAATATATATATTTAATCATAGTCCAAGGGCGCCGAAATTGTAATTATTAAGTTACAGGTTTGTAAAATGTCCGATCGCGAAGTTGCTCGTATTTCGTGGAAGAATTTGAAGGAACGAAAACCGCGCGAGGGTAGGATCGTTGGCGTACGATTTGGAAAATATTGTAGGGGAAACGGCGTCGCGACGCCACCGAGCGGTGCTGCCACGACGCGAAGCGGCCGCCGGGCGCGATATCGCGTCGCCGGCAGCGAACGCGGGCTCGGTACTCGTCGGCCGCGTTCGGGCCCTCTCGCGTACAGTTATGGCAAGGGAACGTCAGTCACTCTTCGGCGCTCGCGCGGAAGAGTTTGTACGCATTAACGGTTAGGGGTATCGTCGCTCCCTGCGGAGTGTTAAGTATCTCGTCGGTGTTCCTTCGCCGTTCGTCGTCTGCGACGTGTATCTAACCCGATCGTGGTGACCTGCGCGATTTAAACGGTGACGCGACACCGTGTATGGAAGTGTCGCGGGAAAAAAGCCGGTGGGTGACTGCCGAGCCGCGTGTGTCCTAATCAAGTGAATGTACATACACGAGTTATCGTCGTGAGCGAACGGTTGTCGCGAGGGGGTTAGTGGAGGCATTCGGGCAGATCGCTACAGTGATACGCGTCAGGCCGCAAGTTTCGGCTCGAAGAACCAAACGGAGCAAAGAGGTACGGGAGTGATCGAAGAAAACGGAGCGAGCGAAGCGGCGAGGAAGAGTAAAAGGGTGGAATGCGCATAGCCGAATGAATCGAACAGATAACGGTTCCCGACTCGTGCCGGCGTTTTGACGTTTCGTATTCGTGGTTACGAAGGGTTTTCTCGATCGTCACCGTACCACGTATGATGGATGCTGTCGCGCGTGTCTCGTGTACGCGACGCTATCAAGAACAGACAGAGCGTCGAGTCGCACAGGCAACGGCGTTCCAGTGAGTTTTTCCGTATACCGTGCCGTGCCGTGTCGTCGGTGCAGTGCCCGCGTGCTTTTTCAACGATTGTACTAGCGCCGGGGCGATAGGCAACAATAAAACGCCGGTAGCGCTGCTACGAGCGAGAAAGAGAGATTACTCTCACGGTTCGAACCAACGGTTGAGTGGTGTTTGTGCGCGCGCGGAAAAAGGAAGCAGTTAACCGGGTCCCTCTCTTGTTCCTACGCGTACAGAGTTACCCGTGAGTCGTTCCCTTCTCGCTCCGCTACCGGTCTCCTCTCGGTCATCCTGCCACGGTGACGTCGTGGCCGTCGGTGCTTCTTCGATGATAAGCACGTGTGCGTGCCACTACCTGCTGCGTGTACGTGCGTGCGTTAGAGTCGCGAGCCGCGTATCGGCGTGCAGTTAGTGACCGGCGCTGCGTTACCATTTAAATCTACGTATACGAAAGTACCATCGCCGGTACAGTTTTTATTTTGGTTTGTTCCTCGTTCTGGTTGGTTTATTTGGTTCGACGTCGTTCCCTTATTTTGTGTCGAGATCGATCAGTTACGAACGGATCACCGCCGTAAACATGGATATCCTGCCGAGTGGGAACATATTTAGGGAGTTGCAAGACATACACGACACCGGATACTTTTCGGCCCAGCCGTCGCTCGAGGATCATTGGCAACAGGTAAAGAACACGATGCATTTACTTTCTATCGTGGTGTGTTCCGTGCCGCGTACCGGGCAGACGCGGTTTTCACCTCTTTGCTTACCCGGAGAAGTTCGAACGGCGACCGTGAATTTCGAACGCGGATAGGCGCTACTCCGTAACCTCGACCGCCATATTTGAATCTCTAACGGTCAACGTAGTAATCCGTGTCGGGTACACCGTCGAGTTCACTGGCGCGTACAAACGAAAGTATTCGTGCCTGGTCTCTGCCAAAGAGGCAGTAAATTATCGCGTGAATTACGTCGAACACGTTTGGAGTATAGCTTTGTCTCTAGATATTCGAAGAATGTTGTTTCTTATTATGGATCGCGATGTTTGTTCGGATTTTTCGTGCTCCGTTCGAATCGATTATCGACGTTCAACGAACTATTGCGACGGGACGACCTTGAGCCAAGGTATTAGATCGGTGTGTACGTTCAGTGACGCGGCCGAGCGTACTGTAGACGGCGCGTCCTGTTTGTTTACGAGTGTGCAATGACCTTCCAGTGGCCGGGGAAGGCAGGAGGGACGTACTTGTTCCCCATTCAATATCTCAGCCGGAGTACAACAGTTTCCACGCTTCGTTAAAATGGCACGAGTGACGTCACAGGTTGCACCGTGCGCCCGCGTAGCGTCAGGCTAACGGTTTATTATCGCGATCGCGAGGTCTCCGTGAAATTAGCAGTTTGTCTTCTCTTTAATTAAACCTTCACGCACGGAACGTATACCTTACGAACATAAGCAGTTTCATTATTTCGGAACGCTTCGTGAAAGTAATCTTGGAGCAGTGAAAACAATAAGAATATACTGAATAGCCTACAATACTCGATTCCACTAGAAAAGGTAATTGGAAAATGTAGAATAGATATTTTGCTATATTTTGCTGATATTTTTATAAGCAGTTTCATTATTTCGGAGCGCTTCGTGTAAGTAATCTTGGAGCAGTGAAGACAATAAAAATATACTGAGTAGCCTAAAATACTCGATTCCACTAGAAAAAGTAATTGGAAAATGTAGAAATAGATATTTTGATTTTTCCTATTATGTGTAAATGTCACTTTAGATAGCTATTTTTGTACTCCATTTTTAAAACACTCTAAAAACGCTTAAGAAATATATTATTATAGCATTGGAACGATAAGAAAATGTAATAATGCAAATATCACATTAGTTAATGTATGTTGTAGTTACATTTTGACGCTAGTATATGTGTATTATTTTTAGAGTTCGATTCGTCCTATAATTTCCTCCAATCTTATAAATAGTCATGGAATTTGCACATGTTAAATTTGCTTTCAGCCCAAAATATAATAGTATACCATAATTCTGAAAACTCAGGAATAACTTCTTCAGCGAATATTGACCTATTTCCTTCCTCCTATTCTACAGTTAGATTTTCTTCCGTTAACGTAACTATTACACAAGTATATTTCCTAGTATTTTTCGAACTACTTCGTTAGAAATAGTTTCCTCTTGGCCAAGACCCAACAAAATTGCATTTACTCCAAAAGCACTTATTTCAAAGTATTCTTTAATATTACGTTCCTTTTTCGAATTAACAGGAAACTTCGTAATTTCTTACGAAGCTCTCAAAAAGTGGCTTCGTCTTAATGGCAATTTATCGGTAAAAATGTTACTAATAATTCCTGATAAAATATTGATACCTCGTCGATAAGTTTCGACTTATCGTTAACATCGTTTAGATATCGATAATGCAGTACACAGAAACTGAATTAACGTACAGTTTGTTGCTTAAATGTTCCTCAACTCGGCCATTCAGAGCTGTTTTATTCATCCGATATTATATGACTTAAAGTTAATGGTAAGAGATCTCCAGAAACTATTTTATTAGTTTTAATTTACTTCACATGTATATAATATTTGATCACACGAATACGAGCAGAAATATTAAAATTATCGTATAATGTCAGATAAATAAAACAGAATAAATAATCAACACACTATCGTTCGCTATATAACAGGGCTAATAAAAAATACTCTTGTTTCCAAAAAGTATATTTAAAGTACATTGTACAATAAACTGAACCGCGACTATTTCTTTTCGTTCGAGTTTGATACAGTATCAACATATTCTGATTCCTCAGTGGCAAAGAATTCGCTTCGCTTTCAAAAACAAACATTCACTGACAACAGGAATCGCTGATGTACACAATTGAGAATTCGAAATACCTATCTGCTAAAAGTCGACAGGTTTCGATATGTATTTCTTAGCAAAATTTAATAGTTTGTGTTTCTATTAACAGCACTTACAAGTGGCTTTCATCTGGTCGTTGTAGGAATGTTTTTCAAATACTCTTTGGTGAAACTGTTCTCCCGATGCGTTCAAGATCTTTTCTTTATCATTGTAACACTTGTTTTTTTTGTTCATTTTACGTTGTCGTTGGCAGCATCAGTCTATCAATAAATATTCATAAGTTAATCAGGCCATGGAAATATTGAGATTTTCATGGAAATCGATGTATTGGAACATTGAGGCCGGAAAGCTAATTACAAAGGTACTTAAGAACGTCGAGAAAGTGCCGCGATAGTTTCTTTCGATCGTGTCCTCCGTATCGTCAGATTTTATCGAGCGTTTACGTAATGCGTTTCAATTATCGTTCGTTTAATTACCGACGGTGTATCTGATCGTCAGCCTGCGAGCGGAATTTACGGCGAAGAAATCTCGGTTTGTCGTTTGGCACTCGACATTTGACCTGCGCAACATTGTTGGGTCGGGTTTAGTTTGGCGCTGTGCCTAATTGAACGTCTCGAAGGGTTTACAGTGGAAAACCGCCTGGCACTTTGCTCGCTTTCTCCTCTTTCGCGTTAATTACCCGCACGATCGACTGTTTTTATTATCGGTCAAGAAATACATCGCGTTAGAGCCTGGCCGGGCTACGTAGTCTTGTTTCAAGATCGCTCGAATCCGCGCTTGTTGTCAATTACGATCTTTCTAATTGCATTAATTTGCACCGTCGATACTCTAACCGTGATTTATGTCCCTATAAAATTCACGGAAGCGGCGTGCATTTCGAACGAAAGTTCTCCGATGTCCAACGTCGAATGATTTCGCGTTTAGAGATTGATTGATCGACGTAGCAAAATTATGGAAATGAACCAAGTATCAGAAATGAAAGAAGTAACGTATGGCTATTTTGTCAGTTTTATTGGTAAATAAGGAACCGAATCTTATAATGCTTTTGACCCAGTTCGATATCTCGATATTCCAAACGTTCGTATTTGGGTTTTTGTAAAGGCTAATAAAGAGGCAAAATATTTTTAAATAACAAAGATGAGACCATCATATTATTATTTCATAACTTTAATTTACCGAGCGATAACTACATGAAAAGTGATAACTTCGAGCATGATGATACGTGATCATTATTCTGAAACTATCTGCATTCCTCCGCAATACCATACTGGTTGTTTGGATGCGAAAAATTCCATGCATTCGCGTTTAATGTCGTCATCACCGTTGAATCACCTCTTGCTCGAAAAGTGCATCATTTCTCGGAACAGGTGATCCAAAGTAGGGACTATGGACTGGTTGAATTATAGTCTTAATTACATACTTTAGTTTCCAATTGTTGCGATTTAAAAATAAACGAAACAGACAATGGAAAAAAGAAATAAATTCTGATCTGTTGTTTGCTCGATAAAAATTACAATTTGAATTATACATTCAAATCGTGTTTCGCGTTGAACGAATAAAAACTGTGAATTGTTAAATCCTCGTAAACGCTGCTACACAGTATTTTCATTAGTCTAATCTGTTATTCTAAAACAAGTTCATCTAATTTCTCAATTAAAATTTTGTCGATCTCCGTTTTATTTCTGTTTAATCCTCGTACAGTACATTTAGAATCATTTTGATTTAACCAAACGTGTTTGTCAGTATTTTATGTTCAAGTATAAGTGAAAGTCAACTCGAAAGTAATAGAGGTTATAGAAATATCTTATCTTGAATAGCTCTGCATCGTTAACTATTGACAAATGCGTGAAATTCTTTAAATATTCCAACAAATGAGTCACGACTGGGGACAGTATATTTATGGGCATTATTAATGATACTCGCAAGGTAGGTTTGAGAATAATTATTTATACTAAAGGCAAGATTTAACATTTTGTACAGAAAAATGGCACGAAAAACCAAACCATTGTTCTAGGGTTAAAAATAATATGTCGAGTGTCTGAAACGCTATATTTTTTGGAATACCATAATATAAAACAAAACGCTAATATATTTTGTACGTAAGTGGTTTATTCTCGTTTTGTGCAAGCAAAGATGGTAGCAGATAAAAAGTACTATTTTCGCGAACAGTCTGGTTACCATTTCGTAAGTTACACGATGATGTACATCGACAGCGTCATTCGATAGGCGAACAGATGGTCGGGTCACATCGCAACGCGACAGCGTTGGTCGCGTGACCGATAATGCGATTCGACAGGTGCTCTGTTGTATATTCTTGTATTCTGAACTTTACACGATCCCGTTTCGCCAGCAATTATCGTCATTGGCGAGGAAACGAGCGTTTGATGCGCCGTGCCATCAAAACCGATGTAACTCGGTCGATTTTCGGCGCGAACAGCGGACGAGGAATTTCCTCCGATTATGCACGCGACGCGCGTGCGTAAAAATTCGTATTCACAGCGTTTCGGGGCGCACGTCTACGTTTTGCATACAAAACCAATCGGAACTTCGTGACGAATTGATCGGGCTCGCGAGTATTTAAATGTGTCGCATTAGTAAAAAAAGTTTACTCTTGTATGAATATAAAAATGCGTTCTTTTTTTAATAATAAAATTTATAATAAATTAACCACGAACCACGTTTATGTCTTCTTTGATATAGAGTATTACGTATATATCTAAAGAGAAATTAAAATAAAAGTTAATTACGTGTACAAAAGTTTACGATCGTTACGAGCACATACACCTGTGGCAACGACTCGCATCGATAAAATATTAATAATTCT